AAAAATGACCAATCATGATCATCTTCTCTAGTGACGTCAGTATGTGCATATGACCGTCACGTGTTCAAACCGAGCCTCCCTGTTCCACGCCGTCGACTTGGCTTCATGCCAGCTCTTCCACCCTGCCTTATATTTCTCTTTCTCAACAATGGACTTCGTTCCGGGGGAGTACTCCCAGAATAATCAGCTGGGGGTGTGTAGCCCGCTTCCCAAAACCCTCACCCTATTTATGACCAAAATCTGCAATTATCCATGCCCTATTTATGACCTGACCAAATTTGATACCCTATATATGGCCGTTGTGGCTGTCGCAGTTGCGCTAAACATAATTTATAAAGGGCTTTTGTTGCTAGTCTTATCGAAAAAATTTTTAAAAAATTTTTAAAAAATTAAGTAGCTTCTTCTAAAAAACATACTTAATTCAAGACCAGAGTGCTAAAACCATACCCTATTTAAGACCAAAATGGCCAAAATCGACACCCTATTTATTACCAGAACAGCTGAAAAACCATGCCCTTTGGGGCCGCACATACCTATATAGTCCATATAAGGGCGTACCCCCCCCCCGGGACTTCGTTCCCCCTCTCGCCTTCTGTTGTCCCCTCCAACGCTGTTAAACAGTCACTAACACCCTCTCTCCTGAGTACAAAAAACAAAACAAATCTCTTGGGATTTGGAGTCATAAAAATGGCCAATTTCAAGTGTTTCCATATCCATTACGACCCAAAACTGCTTTACTTAAGAGAATGGTTTTACACAATCCGCAGCCCGGCCATACTAAGACGAAGGTATACATTTTCCAATTCAATATAAGATTGTGACATATTCTGATATTTCTTTTCAGCTTTTTCGATGAGGCCTTTTCGCAGACTGCATTTACACTCAGCTGATTCCCAAGTTAAAGGTTTGCATTTTGTTTCATTGGACGTTCCCGTCATGTTCGTGTCCTAAGCATCCTTCCAAAACTAATCCAGAACAGATCACTTGATGTATGCTCTGTCTTTACAAAGCCTCTCGTTGCACCCGTTTATAAAAAAAAAAAAAGATACAAACAGTGATCGTAACATTCGATAAGTATTTTTGAAATTGAAAATAACACATTTTTTCTTCACTTCAGCCTTTGATGGTGGCTACTCTGATTGGTCAGCTTGTTCTGAGTGCAGTGTGACGTGTGGAGGAGGAACACAGACATTTATAAGGACCTGTGTGCCATTGAACGGTGTAGACTGCAGTGAACCAAACGAAAAAACAGAACCATGCAATGAACAAGAATGCCGTAAGTGCTTTTTACATCAATTGCATTAGCTTTTTTTTGTTCTTACAATGAATTATTTTCATATTAAATTTTCCTGAAATTTACCTCAAAAGGCTG